CGTTACCATGAACGTCTCTGCTATAAACAAATCTGGCAACCTCAATCTTGACGCTTTGGCTCAGCTATAGCAAATTACTTATAGTTTGAAAAACACATGGTGGGAAATGAACATTGCTCTATTGAGAAGCTTGCCGTAACCGTTGTAGTGCGCGATTTGATTCACGTAGAGCTTTGAGTTTCTTGTGAGCGGGCAGTTCAAATTCCTCGTGACTAATGTGAAATAAAAATGCTAATATCTCCGCTAGGAGTTGATTTCAGTAATTTTCGTAGCGCGAATCGTGTTTTGTGTGAAATTCTGGTGAAGAAACATGTATCAGAATGCTTAAATTCGTACCTTGTCTAGTGGTCCATTGAAGTTTAGAGGCTAGTTGAATAAACCTCAAGCGCCTCTGCAAGAGACGGATTGAGCTGTAAAAAGTCATGACTCGACCAGCAAGAGATGGAGAATTCCATCCAAGGTTGTCATGCAGATAGGCTTAGGGCACGTAGAGCTTTGAGTTTCTTGTGAGCGGGCAGTTCAAATTCCTCTTAACCAATGTGAAATAAAAACGTTAATATCTTCGTCAGGAGTTGGTTTCAGTAATTTTCGTTGTGTGAATCGTGTTTTACGCGAAATTCTGGTCAAGAAACATGTATCAGATTACTTAAATTCGTACCTTGTCTAGTGGTCCATTGTGAAATCTGGCAACTGGAGTCGGGATCTGGCTCCTTAATACCTCGGAACAAACGTAACGTCAAAGCTGGGAGGCTCTACTTAGCCAAGTCCCACTTCGGAGGGGCTCAGCTCGTACTTCTTCCTACGGAGCTCCAGAGCCAGACTCAGCCGGCGGAAGATTCCATTACTCACGGGCGCGGCGCCAATTGACGCGCGGACCGCTAGCGCCCGGGAACCATTTCGGCGGATCGATACACCCCACAGGGGTAATTAATTTCAAGTAGTAATTGACCACTCGTTCATTCCCGGGCCGGAATTCGTCCCTTTCTCCTTTCGCACTCTCCCTCGAGTATCACCTCTCGCCGACCGCCCCAGGTCCGAGTGCCCGATCCCTTCCTCGCTAATACTTTACATGCCTCCGACTAAGAGGTTCCCATCAGAACGGTGCGATCAAAGACAAGAGGTTCGAGAGGGAACGCGCTACTCTATCATCGGGCGTTGATGAATTGGACGTATTTCTATCAAACGGAACTATGTGCATTGTGGTGTGCGCCCTGTTATGCATATGTTCTTATGGGTCTCAGAGCTCATGTCTTCATGCACATAGTTCCGTTTGGCAGAAATACGTCCAATTGAGGCTAGCACGATTGCGTCTAAGGGTCTCTTAATGTGTGTCGTGTGAGTGGAATTCTCCGCGTCCGAAGCCCTGCTACTGTGAATCTATGGGAAGGGTAAAATCGCTTTCAAAAGTTCAGTTGTGCTGGTCTCGGAATCGTGTTTTGATACTATGGTTCTTGTCGATCAGCAAAAAATAATAGGATCAGTCCACACAGCAACTTTCTGTGTTCAATATCAGCCGAAATATCGCGCTTTGAAAAAATTGGTTTATGACGTCGAAGTGACACCCTTGGTTTCTTCTACCTCGGTTTCATCCGAGTTACACATTGAGTAACCAGAGCAAATGTGTTTTCCTGACCGATGAAAGCAAGGCGGAAGACACCAAGGGTGTCACTACCGTGGATGACGTCATAAATCGAATTTTTCAAAGCGCGATGTCTCAGTCAATATTGATAATCGAAAGTTGCTGTTCGGACGGATCTTATTATTTTTAGCTGATCGACAAGGCTACTGTGAACAATGGGAAGTTTCGAATCGCCTTCAATATTTATTAATGCAACACGCGTATCCATCAACTACGAATAGTTGCGCATCCAAGAGCCATCCGCAATGTTTCATCCTTCCTTGCATTCTACGAGGTACCCGACTACCGAAACTTTATGCGTTCGTATCTTGTACATTGATGGTGATGCTCTTATTTTCTAGGACCTTACCATGATAAGGCGATGGAAAAAAAAGGATCAGCTCCCTGGTGTTTTGTTATTATTTTACTCTAAGAGTTTGACCAGTCACAAATATAAGTAAGCGGGAAGGTTCTAATGTGTTCGTATTAGAGAAAGCGCTTAGCTGTTGTAGCTATATGTAGGCGCGTTTTTAAGTTCCCCAAATAAGCACCGTTGAGATGAGATAACTCGCTCACCAAAATTTCAACTATAAATTTTGAGAAAATTACACTATACCATTTAAAAAAAAAGTTGTAGGAAAACAATAATCGCCCTTCGTGTTTTGACATCAGGGCAATAAATAAAGTTATCACAGATTAATGTATTCTAAACACGTTTGCCCCCCTCCCCCATTTCCACCATCTTGTTGTACAGCTGGTAAGGCAAATTTGAACGCATTGCCACTAGTGCACTAGGATTTAAGACGCAGATTGAAATTTGAGCGCTTAAAATTATTATTGTTTTAATGGTGGTGAAATTGACAATCAAAATGGCTAACGAGACTTTTACTGGTTCATACTCCTCCAAAGGGGTGTGGCATTTTTGCTAGTGCAAGAAAGGGCAACAGTGTGGGCGAAGCGTATTTGCAATGCAAAATTGTGTTCAAGTACCGCTGTTCTATCGAACACGCTTAAGGGTTGAAAGCCTGCGGCTTCATGTTGTCTCGTGCGTCGATGTCAGCATGCACGCTTTTGCGGTTTACCACACAATACGTCAGTGGAGTAACAGAACAGTGTTATCGTACTATTATTTTATTTTTCCGACCGTCGCATACATAAAAAAATAAACTTTTGCATAATCCTCATATGCAAAAAAAATAGTTTATCTACAGCTGCGGACGTTTTCAGTCTTCTCTTCACTCCTCTTCATTATTATAATTCTTCCATTTTAATGTTTTTTCTTTTTTCTTTTGTATAATACGATCTAGGAAGATTACATTAAGCTTTTCTTTTTTCTCCCATTTGTTCAATAGGAGAAAGCTCATTGTATGATGAAGAATGGAATTATTTTGGAATTTTCCCAAAGATTATTATAATGAAAAAAAAAAAAAAATACTTAGTGTCAATCTATGTAAATAGCTGAATTAATAGAAAGAGTGCCTATTTATCTAGATACAGCTTCTAAAATTTTACAAGCTTTGTTTCTGTTGATGATGATCAGAAACAAAAAAGAAAACGGAGGTATATCACCTCTATCATTTTCAAGAAATACGTAACCTTTGCTTTTTCTAGTTTGTTCGACTGTTTCAAATCGATATTATTTTACATGTTGGAAAACTTTCTGTTGAAAATACATTAAGTTTTGTGAAGTTGATGTTGCTCTCCCGGAACTTGGAAAAGAGTTATCTCCCGGTTTCGATTCTTCTCGCCTCAGCGATTTTAGCCAGAAAGCTCTGTATATAGAGAGGGTATCTTCCACGATGAGAAAGGGGCCACAGAGAAAGTGAAAACTTGGGCAAGGGCAAGACAACCCGATGACTGGACGCCTAGAACTGTCTAGGGAAGATTTACTCCCGTGTATGCGCAGCCAAGTTGAATGCGAATACGCGGCGCGGCCAAACGCGTGGAGGCTGGCATATAACTTTTCATTACCAGTGCGTGGAGAATAAGTGCATTAACAGATTAAAAATCAGAGTGAGATGAAGTTATACATTTTCCATTATCCCCTCACAAAAGGGGTTTTGTTTAGTTATACGCCTCTCGCTACCCGACGCAACCTAGTTTCCCCCAGAAGATGTGGGAACGCAGTTGCCACGCCTCTGAAAAGCAGTACCGCCGTGGTAACCACCGTATGAACATTCAAGAGTTGTCAAATTTCCCTCGACAAAAAGCTCATTTTTTGGAAAAGTTATGAATATTTTTACTTGAAATTTTCAGGAACTTCAGGTGAAATTCCGAGCAAAATTATCTGACGAATTGGAGAGAGTCCATCTGTAATCATACAGTCTCCACTTCTGTAGAGTGTAGTTTAGTTATCTCATTTATCCTTCCACCCTGAGATACACAGATGCGTGGAAACCTTGATTATTAATCAAACCACTCATTGGTTCTAGGATCAACAACTAGGATCGACACTACCGCACATACACAAAAATAATTTTTTGTTGAAAGTTGGGTTTATACATACTACTTTTTCAGTTTGATTAGCTTACACGGAGAAAAAAACTTCGTGCGTGGGACCCGAAGTTGAGGTCATATGGATCTCTGAAATTTTTGGATCACGTATCTAAAAACTTGAGGTCCAGCTGCCGAAGTTCGGGTCAGACATCTGAAGTACTTTGATATATACCGAAGGGTTTGGGTCACACATCTGAAGTACTCCGGTACATACCGAAGTGCCTCGATGTCTGACCCGAACTTCGGCAGCTCGACCTCAAGTTTTCGAATGCGTGATCAAAAAACTTCAGAGATCCATATGACCTCAACTTCGGGTCTCATGCACGAAGTTTTTTTCTCCGTGTAGAGCAGGTTAATCGTTCTATGGTCAGCTTAGGTTAGATGCAGAGACAAGAGACACTCAACTAGTATCTTGGCCATGCTGGAAGCTTTTAATTTCGGGACTCCAGCATTCTACTGTTGACTTACCTACATGGTTGATGTTCAACAACGTGTTGGCAGTTTCGTTTCACAAACAAGCCGAAAATGGCCGAAGTTTGGGAAACTTGTTTGGCTCATGACGTCACTCGAAGCTCATCATCCACCATGTAGGGAGGTCAATAGCCGAAATTAGAGTGATAATTATCCATAAGGAATTGTTGAATCCCCGAAAGTAAAAGCTTCCACCTGTCGCCAAGAGGTCAGTGGGGGGTCTCTTGTCTCTGGTTAGATTAGGTATGTTGAATTAGGTTCGATTAGGCTAGGTTATAAGGGGTAAGTTTCCTTGGTCAAAATTACCAATTTGATCAAGATTCCAGGTATATTTTTGAGTATAATTTCGAGCCCCCGAGCGTCACATTTTTTCCGGTGGTTCTGAAATAAGATATAGAGAGTAAAGTAGACTTACCGCCGCCATTCTGGTAGGCGAGGTAGGGGAAGCGCCAGACGTTGCCGATGCCGACGGAGAGGCCGACGCAGGAGAGGAGGAACTCCCATCGGGAGCCCCAGGAGCCGCGCTCGGCGACGGCGGCGAGGGAGGGGCGGCGGATGGCGGCGTCGATGGGCGCCCGCTCGAAGGTGGACTCCCGCCTGGCGACGATGTGGGCGGAGAAGCGGCGTTGGTGGTGCTTCTCGGCCCGCTCCACCGAGCGCCGCTCCCGCAACGAGCCGCCCCGCAGCGACCGCCCCGGCCCCGCACCCGCACCGACGCCCGCCACGGAACCCACCCCGGAGATGGACCCCGGCTCTGCCAACATAAACAAAACACACACCGGTTAGTACAAAGCCTTCCAAACTACCAATCAATGGATCAAACTATAGTACCTGTATAGCGAGAGTATGGACAGATCGCTTCATGGAGGTCTTAGGGCCCAAAAGTGCAGCCGTCCTTCTAACCAACTTCTAACATGAATAAAAGAGGAAAAAAACTGAAAAGCACGCAATCTTCGGTTTTAGCCAAAGACATTAAGACGGAGTGCTCGTATCTAAAAGCACGGGGAAAAAGTGAAGCCTGGTTTGGCGCTAGGTGCTTGTGTGAGTGTGTAAATGAGCGCGGGAATCCATGGCGGCAAACGGAAATTTGATTTGAACTTGTCCCCTTGACTTTTCTACATTTCTTCTTGGAAACTTATTTTAAATGCCTAAAACGAATAAATTAAGAAAGTTGGGACTGCGTCCTATTATAATACACCTACTTTTGCTCGGTAACAGGCAGTAATCTCAGATAAAGTTAGTTTTTCTTCTGCTCATGGTGGTTCTGCAGGTTCAAACAGGCCGTTACAGTCGTGGATGACCGTTACTCCCAATTGAAATTAATCGGTCGACGACGGACCAAAACTAACCTAAAGTTATAAAAATATGGGTGTGTAAGTGAATTTGGGCAAAAATCAACCTAGAATACTTTGTTTCCGCAATTTTATTTAGTTCCCGCCCTACATTTGAATTTCAAACTTGTCCCGATTTCGCCGCCAGTTCTCTAGCCAATAGTAGAGGTGATTGAAAAGAAGCTTCATTTTTTGCTTTTAGCGCTCCGTCTTTATGTCTTTGGTTTTAGCCCATTTGTTCATCGATACTTCAGAGTCAAATACGTCCTATTTTATTATGTACCTTAATATTTACAAAACACACATTCAATTTTCCTTTCATATATATATTTTTTTTATCAATTAAAATTAAAGTAATCCATGCAGAGAGTGCAAACATATAAAAATCATGAGTTGAAAAATGCTGTCTCCGCGAGTTTAAATAATAGGCCCTAGCATAACGCGGAGTGATGCGACGTGCTGCCAGCACGGAACGCGCACTGGCGCCTACAAACCTAAGCAGATACTTCACGCATTGCGCAATACTTGAGGTATCCCTTAGGTTTGTAGGCGCCAATGCGCGTTCCGTGCTGGCTGGCTGGCCGCGCCGCAGCGTGTCACGTGCCACGGCGCTTCACTATTTCACAATAGAGGTGTTGTACAGTATTATACGAAATTGAAGGCACTCCAACATACCAACAATAAGAATTACAAAACCCATTGCGTTCCACCATTGCCACTTTTTGATGAAAAACGTAGCGGTTTCTCTCTCAGCTTATCAGCGTTCTCTCAATTTCTTACCAACGGTGAGTAATGAAAAATAAGTTGGAAAAATAAAAGTATATAGAGGAACAAAACTACTTCCAAATAAATCAGGCCACTCCAATTTTTGTTTATTGCTAATCCCAGGAACTACATCTACCTCTAGTTTGTTTATCTACCATTTGTTGCTAACTCTAACTCACACAGTCTAAAACTAGTTCTAGTCTAAATCTAGCGAGAAAGTAAAAATAAGAAAAAAAGGCAGATTCAATGGTCCTTTCTTCGTTATCGTCAAACAATTTGAGGAAAGCACAAAAACATAATTTGAAGCAAGTTAATATTCCAACATGTTCTTACACATAAATTGTTGTGACTGTTGTCAACTTGTACCCAAAAAAATTATTTTAAAACAGGGTTTTCTTGCTGACCATTATTTTCCCGAATCTATAAGGTCAGGATTAGGAGAGATTTGCTGGTGATATTTTCATCAATTTGTATTTTATTTTTTTACACAATGGGTCAGTTGCGCTGGTCACAGAATCTTGTTTTGATGCTTGATTCTTGTAGATAAGCTAAAAATAATGAGATCTGTCTGAACAGCAACTTTCTACGTTCAATATTAACCGAGTTATCGCCCTTTGAAAAGTCGGGTTTTAGACGTCATCCACCACGGTAGTGACACCTTTGGTTTCTTCCACATTGCAGTTTTCAGTCCAGAAGACACACATTTGTACTGGTCACTCAACATAAAACTCGATTGAAAGCAAGGTGGAAGAAACCAAGGGTGTTACTACCGCGGAGGATGACGTCATGAACCGAATTTGCCAAAGCGTGATGAGTCGGTTAATATTGAACGTAGAGAACATTTAGACAGATCTTATTATTCTTAGCTGATCTACAAGAATTAGGCATCAAAACAAGATTATGTGACCAACGCAACAGACCCATTCATCTGTGGGGAAAAAATGCGGGCCTAAAAATACTCCACCCTATTGAATCCTTACTGTCTTAAGGACGGTTAGAATATCAACTCCCAAGTTGCTCGACAGAGCCTCCTCCCCCTCCTCAGGAAAATTCACTCTCGAACACATAAAAGCTCTCAAAATTGAAGTCTTAATGACCGTCTATCTCTAAAATATGGAAGAGTCCACCGCACACGCATTGTGCGGGGGAAGGGTTGAACGAAAAAACAGGGTTGCTCCATTTGACCGTAAGCTGGAAAACCTTTGCGTGACATTTAAATTTACACACCAAATGGCAACCTTGCTTACATTCTCATCCTTATTTCCGCATAAAAAATGTGGCCAATTACAAGGGTAGGCTTATCCATGATTCAGAGATAGTCGGGGTCATTAGAACTTCAACTTCGAGGAATTTTTGTGAGCACGGGAGTGGACTTCGCGTCAAATTATGACATCATCGCGTTCTCCGCAAAATTATACACTGGCAAAGATATTATATAAAGTACACTTTTTAGGACCCGTGAGAATTCTACTTTTTTATCTTGGTGTATGATCTTGTTTAATGTAAAATGAGAGAGCTCTGTTTTTCACACAAAATACATCGCGCCCTAGTTTATGCTCCTTAATACTTGAGTCCCTTTATAGAATGCATTTCTGATTAGTTCCCGTATTTTAGGCCTTCACAGTGTCACAAACGGGAAATAAAGATTACATTTTCACCGATTGCAAGATTATAATCTGGAACGGACCAGGGAATTACGGGTTCGGCAAGGATCAAACAGTATGAGAGAAGGAACGGAAAGAGTAATTTGAGAATGGGCCGATCAAAGATTATGAAAAACTTTCAATTTGTGTAATCTTTATTCCCGTTTGTGCCTCCATGAATGGGAGTTGTCTTGACTCTCAGTACAAAGGGACTCTACTTAATACAGGAGTCGTCCTAATCCAGATGAAACATACATCGATGGTGAAACTACCAGACCTCGTATCTCGTTTGTGGTGTTTAAACATGTCTGCTCCCATTTTATTTTTTTAAAAGAGAACAAATAAATATCATTCTTTGAAATTTTCAGAGTTTTCTTCGAGCAGAGAAAAAAATCACGGAAGTTTTCAAGATTCTACATGTAGTAGTTTTCCTTTAAAAAAATGAAGTATGACAGGAAGTCTACAACGTCGCAAACCGAGATATAGTCTGATAGTTTCACCGTCGATATGATATCCAATCATGATTTATTTTTATTTATCTATTCATTATATTAAAAAAAATTAAAATGTTCCGTGTGAATGTTTTTGAATGAGTTTTTTCGATATTCACAAAAAAGTCAAGAAAAAAAACTGTGAGTTACTCTGACTTTAAAAAAAAATTAAATATGATCGTAGACTTGCAGCGCTGCAATCTGAGGTCCGCATTTTACGACTTTAGCCATAGATATGCCCTTCGTGCAAAGCGTGAGAATGTGCATTAACTGATGAAATGAAAGCGCGTTGGTTTCCGCGCTCTAACCTGTGTAAGGGGGTTGCCACGGAAAAACAAAGGAAAACTTGGTTTTTTGAGCTTTTTGAAAATACAAAAATCCTGACTGAGGCAAGAATCACGCTCCTCTTTTAGACAGTAGAAGTGGGTTCATCAATACAGGTTCCGTGTGCAGCGATAATTATTCTGTCTCCTCGCGGGTTTTCTTCGAGGGGCTGAAAGGGTGAACTCAGTGACTTGACGGGTTGACGCTAAGGACACCGCTCATGATGGCTGATCATTTTTCATCCTCTGTTTTACCACCGTCGTTGACAAATTTTGCGCGCAGTCTACAATTCGATATTAATTAGTCTCGGAAAAATCTAAAAAAATCCTACAAGTTGACCTCTTTCGTTGCTAGTGGCTAACGCCCAGTAACAAAATTGCCAGACCACGTTTAAACGACATCTTCTGTATATTTTGATGTAATTTTTTAAAGCGCCCAATCTGACCGCCTAGTTTTCGTGAAGTCAAGTGAGATTTTTCCCTGAAAAGTGGTGGGTGAAAGGGAAATGCTGTGGATTGGAGAGCGTTCTATGCCCAGTCTCAATTTTCGGGGTGAACTGCACCGAAAATGATGTAAAGAAGACGTCCCCTCTCGTTTATCCACGCGTCTTTTCCACACATTGGAATTTCGACTTATCGATCCCTCTGGAAAATGTAGTTTTTTTTTTTTTTTTTTTTTTTTTTTTTTTTTTTTTTTTAGCAAAAAAGAAAATTTAGCAAAAATTAGCCCCACTAAATCAGTCGTAGCTTCATTTCTTTTAACGCATTAATTTATTTTTCATGGAGAATTGAACAAAATTCTAACTTGTAATTTTTAGTTTTTTCTTTGTCTGCTAGGGTCAATTCACAGAAAGTTCCAAGGTGTATAATGATGTTCAGTCTTCAGTATAAAAAATGGAACATGAGAGAAAATTACTCAACGTGGAAAATAGTCAGACTGATTCTGGTCAATACCATCTGGACGTCCGGTATACCCACGGAAAAAAGGTATAAGGGTTGTTGGATGATATGAACATTTCCAATTCATTGTGGTTGCACCCCAAAAAATTGGGGTATTAACCCAAATGTTGCGGTACTAGCCCAACTTGAGTTGCGGCGCTATCGAACAATTAATTGGAAATGTCCGTATCATCCAACAATTGGGGTAGTACCAAAATTTTAGGAGATAGCCCCTAACAGTTTTTTTTTTTTCCATTCCTTA